CACATCCGAGATAGATGAAATAGAGATGCAATTTGTTCTTCGCATGAACATGCACATGCACATGCATCGTGCATGATGAGAATCTGAACGAGATTTTAAAACAGCGTAGCATACTGATTGACTGGAACGGCGCATTGCTTGATATTATTCTCCGGTGGGAGTGATGATCAAACTTGGCTATAAGGTGGGATTCTTGCGCTCGGGACGACAAAACAAGCGCTTTGGCTTGTCTTCAGGATTTAAAGTCGGGTCGATTTACACCGAAATTGACATTGATCCCGCATTGACTGACGATCTCGCGGAACACTCCGACATCTTACTCGTGAGGCCGTCGAATCTCTTGGCATCCCTTGCTGCATCTTCAACTCCCACAATCACATCTACACAAGAAATAGATATAGGCGACACTCTATTGAGCCCTGCACAAAAACAAATCATTTTGGAGATGATGGTTTGATGACTAGAAACTGGGTTGGTACGCGACGTGAAAAGCCCCAAGAGGCTTAAGCTAACACAAAAACTAAGTTGATTGGATGCTCTCCACCTGCTTCTGATCCTGCATTATCCACTCAATGCGGGGAGAAGATGTAACTTCATTTCTTCTATTTCTTTTTTCGTACCGGACATGCGGTCATAATGAGAACCCCCACGGGGGCGATCCAGGACCCAGGGGCCCAAAGCGCGTGCTCAGAGACAACACAGCCCTTGACACTCTGCAATAACAAGAAGCAACCACCACGCTCTCTTTTTTCTTTTGCTTTTTCGGCTCATTTACCAATCAGTCACTTCCCGCAAGGCTACAAGCAAAAATTCACCTAGACCATGCGGTTATTTCTCTCTTTAGCTCTGGCCCCATTGGCGGCGAGCTTTGTTGTCCATAAAGGAAACACATGCACCCTCTTTCCAGAGTCGCTCAAAAATGGCGGCGATGCCGTTGACGATGTACCCTCAGTTTACGAAGCCTTCAAGCAATGCGGTCACAATGGCAAAGTCATCTTTGCCAAGGATCATGTGTTTAACATCAACTCGGTGATGAATACCACAAACCTGGAGAATTGCGAGGTTTCATTGAGAGGAGAGCTAAGATGGTCTACCGACATACCTTACTGGCTTAATAACTCCTATCCAGTGGTATTGCAAGACCAGCATACTGCGTGGCTATTTGGGGGTGAGAATGTTACATTTCGAGGCGAGGAAGGCGGTTGGTATAATGGCAATGGCCAAGCCTGGTATACTCAGAACGAAAACCAAAGTAACCAACCGGGCCGCCCCATTAGTATGACAATTATCGACTCAAAGAATGTGCTCATCGACGGTCTATCTATCATTCAACCTCAATTCTGGGCAACGTTCGTGGTGCAGAGCAAAAATGTCTCTATTACAAACTTCTATGTGAATGCTACTAGCAATGACCAGTGGGGCACCGTTAATACCGATGGATATGACTCTTGGAATAGCGAGGATTTGCTCATTGAAAATGCCGTGATCCAAAACCAGGATGATTGCATCGCAGTCAAAGGAAACACCACCAATCTGCTCGTTCGCAACGTGACCTGCCACGGGAATTATGGCATGGCGATCGGATCTGTTGGACAATATCCAACCATGCCTGATTATGTCGAAGATGTGACATTCGAGGATATTCGTTGCTATGATTGTATGGAAGCTGCCTTGATCAAGACCTGGCAGGGTGTTGCTGAAAATGACAGCTCTAATGGCGATGCCGGCGGCGGTGGTAGTGGCTATGTCAAGAACATCACCTTCCGAGACTTCGAAGTCGTCAACACAGCTCTGCCTATCCAGATTTCCCAGTGTATCTACACCGAAAGCGGAAAGGATTGCAATACTTCTAAGATGGCGATTTCAGACATCACTTATTCCAATATCAAGGGGACATCGAGGTATAATATCGCCAGCTCCATCTACTGCTCTGATGTCCACCCTTGCCCTGGAATCAAGTTTGAGAACGTGGAGATCGACTCGGTCAACAGTACCATGGGATTGCCACTGGCTGGAACCACATTGCAGGACGAGGTTTTCCAGTGCACCAACATTATCGACGAGGAAAACTCCGGAATCCCCTGTAACCATGCTGCGCCAAGCAACTATGGCCAGTCCGTCGATACCAACGTGAAAGACGACAGCGTAAGCTCTGAATCCTAAGGAAACTCACAGATGCCACAAGTGTGCGACTGAAAATAAAGGCACAGGGGAGGGTGCGCTCGGACTGAGCGAAGCCGAAGAATCTCCGCAAGCTCCGAGAATATCTCTGAGTTATTGCGATCTTGACACCGAGCTGGAGCATGTTTGGAGCATTGAGATAGCGTTGTGGAACCGAGTTCATATTTCTCCGAAGATACTTCGGCCTGGTGAACGTGCGGGCATTCCCCGTGGGGAATGCGAGAATGAGGGGAGGGGTATAAATATCACTTTATTGTTCGAAGAATCATTTATCAAATTAACGAACTCGATATTTTTACATCTTTGCGCTTACAATGCTCGTTTCCTTAAAAGCATTGGGGCTCTCCCTTCTTGCCAGCCCCACATGGGCTACGAGCTCAGGCTATAAAGAACCCTATCGTCCCCAGTTTCACTTCTCACCCGCCAAAAACTGGATAAATGACCCTGTCGGATTACTGCATCATAATGGGATATATCATCTCTATTATCAATACAACCCCGGGGGAATTGAATGGGGTAACATGTCATGGGGCCATGCGACAAGTCATGACCTGACGCATTGGGACGAACAACCCATCGCTCTCCTCGCCCGAGGTTTCCCCGAGAATGTGACGGAGATGTTTTTCACTGGCAGTGCTGTTGCCGACGTAAACAATACCAGTGGGTTTGGTGTTGATGGCAAAATTCCCTTGGTTGCCGTGTATACTTCCTCCGTGGGTCTACCCATACCTTCGTGTTTATGCAGATGTACTAACTAGCCTTTGTTTGAACAGTACCAAGTTACGCAGACCTTACCTAGTGGTAAGGAAGTGAAAGCCAACCAGCAATCACAATCAGTTGCTTATAGTCTTGATGATGGTGTGACATGGACCACCTACGACGAAGGCAATCCAGTCATCCACAACCCACCAGCCCCCTATCAACAACAATACGAGAACTTTCGGGATCCTTTTTTGGTCTGGCACGAACAAACAAACAAGTGGATTCTCGTTACGGCGTTATCTGAACTCCACAAACTTGTCCTCTGGACCTCAGACAACTTGAAAGATTGGAAGGTCTTGAGTCAATTTGGCCCATTTAACGGTGTCGGCGGAGTGTGGGAGTGTCCCAATCTCTTCCCTCTTGACCTCGACAACGACAAATCGAAAACAAAATGGATCATGGCCGTGGGGCTTAATCCAGGAGGTCCTCCAGGCACTGTCGGATCCGGAACGCAATACTTTATTGGCAGCTTTGACGGAGAAAAATTTACCCCCGATGACGAGAGTGTGTACCCCGGAAACAAAACCTCGAACTGGATGGACTGGGGGCCCGACTATTACGCTACTACCAGTTTTAATGGACTCCCAAGTACCGATCATACTGTCATTGGATGGATGAACAATTGGCAGTATGGCACGAAAATCCCAGTATACCCCTGGCATGGTGCAATGGCGGCTCCCCGACGCCTATCTTTGAAAACGATAAATCAGAAGCCGACCTTGATTCAGCAGCCGAATGAAGCTTGGAAATCTATTCAAAGACAAGGAGAACATTCATCCTCGTGGAATACTTTCAACCAGGGAAACAAAGACCTTGGTTCCGTCGGGAAAACGCTGGATGTTGAGTTGGAATTCTCTGCTTCGGGCGCATCTGAGTTTGGAATCATTGTCCAAGCGACTTCTGATTGGAAACAACAAACCATAATCGGTTACAATTTTGAAGAAAAGAAAATCTTTGTCGACCGAACCAAGTCTGGCGATGTCTCTTTCGATGAAACCTTTGCGAGTGTATACCACGCACCGTTAATTCCAAACTCGGATGGGACGGTGCGTCTTCGGATATTGGTTGACTGGTCAAGTATTGAGGTGTTTGGAGGTGAAGGAGAAGCTACCCTGACTGCTCAAATCTTCCCAAGCCGAAACGCAACTTTTGCGCGGCTTTTTTCGCATGGTGGAGATACTAAGAATGTCCAGCTTGGCGTCCGGAAGGTTTCCTCGACTTGGAACTAGGAAGGCAGAATAGAGAAACTAGGTACCAAGTGTTGCAGACAATAGATTCATACAAGAAAAATCCCATTCCAAGGCTACTTATTCTCTGCAACTGCACGAAGGCTTTTGTATGCAGAGCTAGAACGGTCTAGAAGGACGGAGTGTATACTTTTGAGCGGGTGGAGCCCGGCTCTGATTTGCGGGTCATCGATGTCCAACAATGAAACGCTATCATTGGCGGAAATTCAACCATGCTTTGAGCGTAGATGTTGTGACTCGATCCCTAGCAGCTGAAAAATCTTGATATGACACCTGCTCCTCGGGATCTTTGTGCTTGATCGGCCCAGCGAGCCGGAATCTTTCTACTTAGACCATACACAAGCTAGACTTTCTTTTGGCAGTGCCATCCCAGGCACATCAATTTGATGTCAGAGCAGCTCCAAGAAATTTTATGTCGCCCCAGGAGTTCCTACAACGTGATGATTTGCGGGTTGTGTCGCCGCGACTCCACTATTCAGGCATGCCTTCTAAAAAGCCTTCACGTCAAAGACTTTGATTAGAGAAATTCTGTATTGATCGACAGTGCTGATCACCGAATGGAGGCATGGAAACTTGCAGTTCGCCTCCAATGATCCTAGTTAGAACGTAGTTCAAGAATCTTTAAGTAGAACGAAAGGTCGCAATACAATGAGACTTATCCCGCAATCTGACTTGATTATACAGCGCTCCTAATTGATCTAATGGCTCTCACGGAGGAACATATTGGCCGTGAAAAGGGAGATTCTTCTCCAGAAACGACATTGCGACCGATAAAGGAACGAGATAGCAGTCCAGGCTCCGCATCGTCAGATGAAACCTTGGGCCCATCAGCCGAAAAAAAATGCGCCCCGACAGCCAGCCGATACGCAAAATAAACAACAGGTGAAGCCAAAGCACAGTCAGTCTTTGAAAGCCTCGGGCGAACACACTGTCACACCCAACAAAGCAGGACCATCAACACCGACCACTGCAAGAGCCGAGTATCTACGACAACCAACCGAGACTGGCAGTTTTGATCTGTATAACACTCTATCTAATCGAACGTACAGTCGACAACATGTCAAGCAAACGCCCTCTTACTCCCTAGCTGGCCCAGGTATGATGGATGCTCAACAACAACAAGGAACTACCTACATCGATCCTGAATACCAGGGAATGAACCCGCGATATGGAAAAAACAACGAAAAGCCGATATGGGGTCTTGCAAAGCCTCTTCCAAGGGTCGTCAGACCGGGAATGCGCCGCGACGAAACCAACGCCCAAAACGCATATCAGCCCAGGCCGGCGGGAGAGGCAGAGCCTGCACCAGAGCTTGGAGCGACACCTGGCCTGGCATCTACTCAATCTGTTAATGATCAAAAAAACATGCAAGATCAACCAACGTACGCTACTGCTGCAAAGCAGGGGTTGCCTGGAGAAAAGAGAGTCTATGCACCCCAGCCCGATGGCCTTCTTCGTCCGATTGAATCGGAAGTCAATAGCAATGCGCTGCCTCCTAATACGGACCGTGAGAAAGTGAATATGGAAAAACAACAACAACCAGAAGATGAATTTCTGAATAGCTGGGTGAAAATTCGTCACCAAATAAAAGAGCCGCTGGCAGAATGGCTTGCAGTAAGTCGATTTTCATCCTTTCCTCAAAATTATAGCTAACATTTTCCCGAAGACTACCATCGCTGTCTTCATAGGTTTAACCGGTACACTTGCAGTCTCAACCGGCGGAACACAAGCAGGAAATCGGCTATCACAGAACTGGTCATGGGGCCTAGGATCCATGATTGGTATCTATATAGCCGGTGGCATATCTGGAGCGCACCTCAACCCTGGGATCTCCATCGCCCTTTGGATATTCCGTGGATTTCCAGGTCGACGGTGCTGCTTCTATATTATTGCCCAGGTTCTTGGCGCTATAACTGCAGCTGGATTAGCATATTGCTTGTATCGAGACGACATCATTGCTTTTGCTCCTACTGCCTCTGCTGGCACCACTGGCCTCGGATTCTACACAGAGCCACTCAGTCATATTAGCTCCGCCACGGCATTTTTCACGGAATTCGTCGCTGACGCTATCCTTCTTTGTGTGCTTTTTGCTCTTGGTGATGACGGAAATGCCCCGCCAGGCGCGGGTATGCATTCTTTCATCATTGGATTGGTCATCTACGTTCTTTGTATTTGTTTGGGGTTTAATACTGGAGGGTATGTCTCGTCCCTTCCAAAGATAACTTGAAAGTAAGCAACTAACAAAGTACAATTCCAGATGTCTGAACCCTGTGCGTGATTTCGGACCCCGTCTCGTTGCTCTTATGGCTGGTTATGGAGGCACTACTTTTACAGACCACCAAGGCTGGTGGTTTTGGGGGTGTTGGATGGCGACTATCGGAGGCTGTCTGGCGGGTGCCTGTCTCTATGACATCTTCGTATTTATTGGAGGAGAGTCCCCCATTAATTATGCACCACGACGCCGAATGAGAGCAAAGCTTAAAAAGGAAGTTAAATGGAGGAAGCGACTGGGTCTCCATAAGGATAAAGTCCCATCGTTAGAGGAGGGCATTAAGAACCTGGAGGATTAGTGTTTGTCAATAAAAATAACTTGCAAAAGAGAAAGTGTGTAATCAGGCCTTCGAGAATTAAGTCTCCGCGATGCATTGCAAATTCTTCGAGAAAAATACGTTTTTTAAATATGGTGTGGCTCCAATGTTGATTTGTGAGCATTCAGTACTAGTGACTCACGGAGGTTGCTTCGGCGCCGACAAGAAAATTGCGGATGACGACTTGCTTCCCTCCACAACCCCACACTCCGATTCAGAGTGAAGTGAATCATCCATCTTCGCCTTCAAAATGTCCGCCCCACTGGATTTAAGCCTCCCTACGGCTCTAATTCTAGTCGATAACCAAGCGGCCTTTTCCGATGCCGCAACTCTATCGCACTGGGGCAACGGACGATCCAACCCGCTCTATGAGACCAACATTCAAGCTCTCATCTCCGCCTTCCGCACCGCACGAGAGGAAGCTTCCACTCTTCTGGAGGTGATCCATGTGTTCCATTCCTCCACTACTCTAGGATCACCTCTTCATCCATCTCATCCGGGCCAAGGTATCCGCCCGCTGGACTTCGCGACCCCAGCCTTAGATGGCTCGGAGCCTGTTTTCTGGAAGTCCGTCAACTCATCCTTCATCGGTACGGGCCTTGAAGCCCACCTGCGAGATAATGGATTTCGCCAAATCATTATCGCAGGCCTGACAACTGATCACTGTGTTTCGACAACCGTCCGTATGGCGGCCAATCTAGGCGTTGTCGATCGCTATCTTGATGAAGGCCCCGTGAAGCTAAGATCTGATGGCACGCATCTGAAGGAAGTTAGTGTTGATAGAGGACGCATTATTCTGGTGTCTGATGCTACTGCGACATTTGGAAAGGGTGAATTCGATGCTGAGACCGTACACAAGGTTTCTGTTGCTAGTCTTGATGGCGAGTTTGCGGATGTCATTGGGACCGAGGAGGTTGTGAAGGCCTTGAGAAAGGTCAAAATTTGACGTGGATAGATATATTCAAGTTTCCGATGAGAGCGAAATAACACTAATTTTATGTGTATCATAATGACTCGGATGTAGCTACGCCGATCAAATAGAAGAAAACGAAATATAATTTACAGCAAAGGTTTTCGTCTTAACTTCAAGTGCAACCGTCCTCCCGGATGACTGATGCAAACGCATGGAAAGGTTGTTCAACTGCTGGAATTCAAGCTGGCAGGTAGCCATACCTCTCTTTTGATTCCATCCACCTTGCTCGGAAGAAGTTTCTCCCCTTCCTGACAAATGAAACTGTTTTCTGCATCAAACATCCAATACCCCAGATCTTCATCACCACACGTAAATCAACCTCCTCTTCTTCATCACTCTCAAAGATTGCAGGCAGTGGTAGTCGTATCATTCTGGTAGATTTCCGAGCTCGTGGCCAAGCCCACTGTAAAAGGATATTCATCGCCTCAATATATGATGGGGTATCGAGTTCTTGGGCCTTGCTGAACTGTACTCTGAGTCTGCCATCAAAATATCCATACAGCACACGAGCCCGAGCTCGGGGTTCAGACGAAACCACAAGTGTCTGTCTTAATTAGCACTAAACATCGACGCCCGCAGGGAAAATATCAAGACACTATACCGGAAATGTATGGTGGAAAGGGAGATGAGATCTCCTCTTCCAGGAGGAAAGAATCGCTTTCTGCGACCTCATGGCCCCTATCATCCAACTCACGAGCACAATAAGCTCGGACACAGATGGCCAATTCGCGTCTGTTGGGTTATGAGATGCCATCCAGACACTCCGGTGACACTGGCGAGTACTCGCGATCTGCGATCCACGAAAGACATCAAAGCCATGGGGACTGTTGCGACTAGAACTAAACTGGCCCTTCAAGTGCGGTTTTTCTCTAAACCAAGCACCTCATTAGTTTCGATTTCCATCTAGATTGTCCACATGAATTGGTCTTGGATGAAACTCACGGAATATATTCCCATTCGTCATGAAACTGGTAGACATCAGCTAAGTCCCGGGCGTAATCCCTAAATGCAAAAGCAGCATCCATCTGAAGTCCATGATTTCGATTAATTCCGCCTTTCCTCAGGCGCCGACAGCAGGTGAAGTCATCTTCTCCCACACTATCTGGATCTCGTCCAGTATTGGAAATCTTACAAGTTCCATCGTGACGGGGTTTGAAAAACGAAGAACCATTGCTCGTAGCTCCGGTTTCAATATCAAGGTCATTGAACTCTATGCCTGTCCATTTGCGCAGCTCGGGCGTTGCCATCGCATTGGGCTCAAGGGTGTTGAGCGTGGTGAGTGTTTTTCCAAGGCAGTATTCTGCATTGCGAAAATGCCACATCCACATGGGTCGTGCTTTCCGTCTTTTGCTACCCATTTTGACTGGTAAATCAGGTTGGATGTAGATGAAGTTGCTTAGTATAAATAAGTTCAAAGGGTGATCGACGGGGTCTGAGATGGGAGCTAGTACGAGATGTAAAAGGCGTCAGAGACATCCTTGAAAGGGAACGGATGTCTAGAATAGTCTGGTTTGGTCATAATGAAATGTTTTTTTTGTTTTGTTTTTGAAAATGTCTCGAAATGGACAAGTCGAACAATAAACCGCCTGAACCATGTGTTTGTTTGGTCCGATACCCCAGATTGGCGCCGTCCCATGTCTCAAATAGGAACCGCTCCAGAATCGGAACTTAAGATGCCTCAGGTTATGACCTCATCAAACATAGCTCAATGCCAAAAGAAACTGGTGTCTCCATGGTATTGTCGTCCTACCTTCATAGCGCCATGGGAACTTTACAGCTAGAGCAAGATGAATGAGACTATCGAAGGACAGGGTTCATAATTTACAGTCAGGCACAATGCTCAAAAGTAAAAGTTACACGAAACTAATTACTTCAAGGGTCTCTAACACAAAGGAGAAAAGAATACAGGAGCGGGTTAGATGAAATGAACCGCTGAACCCCATCCTATAGATGGCGGCAGATATACCTCAGAAAAATCCAAGCCTTCACTTTTCATGAAATGAACTAGGAACCAACCAAGGAACAAGAAAGCTTCACACTATCGTCAACTGTTTAAACAAGGTCGCGCTTGACGAACTCAGCAAGCAGGGCCTTGCCGAGAGCGGCGGGGGAGCGCTCGACAACAACACCAGCGTCCTGAAGGGCGGCGATCTTGGAGTCGGCACCACCCTTACCACCGGAGACGATGGCACCGGCGTGACCCATACGGCGGCCGGGGGAGCGGAGATACCGGCGATGAAGGAAACGGCGGGCTTGTTGTGGATGTTGTTGGCCTTGAAGAACTCGGCAGCGTCCTCCTCAGCGGAACCACCGATCTCACCGATCATGATGATACCGTCGGTCTCGGGGTCCTCGAGGAAGATCTTCAGGCAGTCGATGAAGTTGGTGCCGGAGAAGGGGTCACCACCGATACCGACGACAAGGGACTGACCAAGGCCGGCCTGGGTGGTCTGGTTGACGGCCTCATAGGTCAGGGTACCGGAACGGGAGACGATACCGACGCGGCCGCGCTTGTGGATGAAGCCGGGCATGATACCGATCTTGCATTGACCCTAAAATAACGAAAGATATATGAGGATACAGCTTCGGCATCGGGGGTCGGGACATGTTGCACTTACGGGAGCAATGATACCGGGGCAGTTCGGGCCGACCAGGCGGGTCTTGTTCTGGGTCTTGAGGATGTCGGTAATGCGGACCATGTCTAGGGAATATCAATCAGTCGCGCCGTTCGCGCATAGCTAGCAATCGGAAACTGCATACCGTGCTGGGGAATACCCTCAGTAATGCTGTGTCGCGCAAGAAAAATTAGCTTCGGGTTCTTCATCGGGAGCTCCAAAATTAAGCCACGTACCAAACAACAAGGGGCATCTCAGCAGCGATGGCCTCCTCGATACCGGCAGCAGCCAGAGGGGGGCTATATTCCGTTAGTATTCACTGTATTCTTCCCTATGCGGAACAGGCGATGTGGTTCATACGGAACGAAAATGGCAGAAGCGGTGGCACCGGTCTGCTTCACGGCATCCTCAACGGTAGCGAAGACGGGAAGGTCAAGGTGAGTGCTACCAGCCTTCTTGGGGTTGGTACCACCAATGACATTGGTACCTGGACTTGTGTGAGCTGTGGTGTTCTTGCGATCGCGATAGGAGAGGGAAAAGTACCGTAGGCGATAGCCTGCTCGGCGTGGAAGCTATTCAGGAACTACACGTCAGCACTGAGCGCATGCATTCGGGACATCCTGACAGAGAATCAAATCGAACTTACGTTCCCTGCTTTCCAGTGAAACCCTGGAAGAGAACCCGGGTATCCTTGTTGATGCGCAGGTTGTTCACGGTGCTGGCATAGGCAGAGGTGGCCTGAGTACGGCGCTGCTGGCCGACATTTCGGAGGGCCGAGAAGGTGTTGCGACGGAATGCCTGCATGATTGCAACAAAAGGAATTAAGTAGAGGAGAGAGGAGAGGAGAGGAGTTTGGAGAAAAAGAGGTGGTGACTCGGGAAGGAGAAGTGAAGCAAGGAATCGAATCGGGATGCGCGCCCGGGAGTTTTCGTTCGGGAAGAGAAACCTTTACTTAAGCGGACCCGACTTGACTTCGGCAGCCTCGGCCACTCAACTTTTTTTTCTATCTAATCGTATCCTGCCCCCCACTACCACGACATCAAGGGGTTATTGGGGTACTGTGAGCTACGAGTTTATTTGTTACTGTCGATTACTCGCCTTTTTGGTTATCTTCCCTCGCCTTTTCGCCCTCGCCCCCGTGGTGACACGCCCGCCATGGCCACCATGACAATGACCATGCCAATGGCACCCACCAAGAAGACGGCCAGGAAGAATGCGAAGAGCGTCCCTGAGAACGAGCGCTACATGCGAGCATGCTCTGACATCGCGAATGCCCTCATTCAGGACTATGAGTCGTCCAGGGACTCGTCGAAGCCGAAGAAGGATATCAACCTCAACAAGCTGCGGGGCACCTTTGCGAAAAAACATCATTTGAGCACCCAACCGCCACTGACAGCCATTATTGCCGCTGTACCGGAACACTACAAGAAGTACATCTTGCCAAAGTTGATCGCGAAGCCCATCCGTACGTTGGACCCAAAAAATTTCTCAATTCAGTTCAATAATGCGGGGGTGATATAAACTAACACTCAAACACAGGAACTTCATCGGGTATCGCCGTCGTCGCCGTGATGTGCAAGCCTCACCGTTGTCCGCATATCGCATACACTGGAAACATCTGTGTTTACTGCCCCGGTGGTCCCGATTCCGATTTCGAGTACTCAACACAGTCATACACCGGATATGAGCCAACCTCCATGCGTGCGATTCGCGCGCGCTACGATCCCTTCGAGCAGGCCCGAGGACGTGTGGATCAGATCAAATCGCTTGGCCACAGCGTGGATAAGGTCGAATACATTATCATGGGTGGAACTTTCATGTCCTTGCCAGAGGACTATCGGGATACCTTTATTTCGCAACTTCACAATGCGCTCAGTGGATACCAGACAGACAACGTTGACGAGGCCGTGCTGGCCGGCGAGATGAGTAACGTGAAGTGTGTTGGTATCACCATCGAAACACGACCTGATTACTGCCTGGACACACACCTGAGCAGCATGCTGCGGTACGGCTGTACCCGTCTGGAGATTGGTGTGCAGAGTCTGTACGAAGATGTTGCGCGGGATACCAATCGCGGACACACTGTCGCCGCGGTGGCAGAGACCTTCAAGCTTGCAAAGGACGCCGGGTTCAAAGTCGTCAGCCACATGATGCCCGACTTGCCCAACGTCGGAATGGAGCGTGATCTGTTCCAATTCCAGGAATATTTCGAGAACCCAGACTTTCGTACTGACGGTCTGAAGATCTACCCCACGCTTGTCATCCGTGGCACAGGTCTCTACGAATTGTGGCGCACCGGCCGCTACAAGAACTACACTCCCAATGCGTTGGTTGACCTAGTGGCCCGCATTTTGGCCCTGGTTCCTCCTTGGACCCGTATCTACCGTGTCCAGCGTGATATCCCCATGCCTCTGGTCACCTCCGGTGTTGAAAACGGTAACTTGCGCGAGCTGGCTCTGGCCCGCATGAAGGATTTTGGAACGACCTGCCGTGACGTCCGCACCCGTGAAGTCGGTATCAACGAGGTCAAAAATAAGATTCGCCCCTCCCAAGTCGAGCTCATCCGTCGCGACTACACCGCCAACGGTGGTTGGGAGACCTTCCTAGCCTACGAGGATCCCAAGCAAGATATCCTCATTGGCTTGCTTCGTCTGCGCAAGTGCAGTGATACTCACACATTCCGCCCCGAATTCACTGGCCAACCGACCAGTATCGTCCGTGAACTCCACGTCTACGGATCCGCTGTTCCGCTCCACGGCCGTGATACCAACAAGTTCCAGCACCGCGGATTCGGAACTTTGCTTATGGAGGAGGCTGAGCGGATTGCACGAGAGGAGCACGGAAGCACAAAGATCAGTGTTATCTCTGGCGTTGGTGTCCGGAGCTACTACGCTCGTCTTGGATACTTCCTTGACGGCCCTTACATGTCCAAGATGTTGGATCCTTGGGAGGATGAAGAGTCATAGGGAATAGAAACTCTTCTTTCGTTCTCGGTAGTTTGGGGGATAAATATTGATGATGATTCTGCATAAATAGGCGTTGGGGGTCACACTTTCAAAACAAAAGTGGCTATAGTCAATAACGAACAATGATGAAATATCTATACTTGATTGATATCAGCTTGCAATGAGATAGCTAGAGAGGGATAGCAAGAAACTAGCGACAAATCTGAGCGATCTATGTACACATCGCGTGGGATGGTCCTCCCGATCTTCGTGATGGATAAGTGACCAGCGAGACCTGCCCAGCTGATGTCTATCCATCGCATGGGAGCGACCATCTCCCTTCCACTCCTTGCCGACGGACTCCGATGTTAGATCGCGGTGGTGCGAAAACCAACCCAGGAGCAAGAGCAAGATAAGCCCGGCCAGGTCCGCTGTACACCTGCAGATCCGTTTCAGAACTCTTTCTCCCCCGCCCTCTCGGACCAAGGTAAACCATATCCACCCAAAGAAAGACCGAAAAAAATATATGAAAACCCAATGATTGTAGTAAATCAACAGAAGAAACCGTCATTGACACCGAATGAGATATTGCAAGGGGGGGTATTTGGTTTTGGAATTTATTGGAGTGATATGGCGCCGCCCCTGCTGACTCGCAAGTGGAGATAGGCCTGGAAGCCACAGAAGATGAAGAATCCCTATAGATGAGAAGCGATCGTATTAGCTATGCCTTAACCCCTAGAGCTCTGATGCAATAATGAGTGTGAATGGCGGATGACGTACAGCGTAGATGATCACAGCGGTGTAAATCGAGGCAGCGACAGCGACTCCATCTTCGGGCTCTCCTTCGGAGCCTGTGTAGGCGTGGTTGTTGCTCTAAATGGCACAGTTAGCGTGTCAGTTCGGTAGAGTGGTAGGTTGGACGAGGCGACGATGCGCAAGTTGGGTTGGGGATGGACGGGCTGGATGGGGTCGGAAGAGACATACGCCGAATAGCGAGCCGAGGACTGAGAGAATGACGATGGCAAATAAGGAGATAACGACGCTGTTGGACAAGAAAGAATATCAGAAGCTATCCATCAAGAAAGGTCGGGGTACTATTCGAGATGGAGAGGCGTACCAAGACCAAGCGTTCAAGGCGGATACAACGGGCTTCATCCTGGTGGTGGTGGGAGTAAATGTGACGGGCTGAAGAAAATATCAAGCTGTACGGAGATATGAGTTCGTGAGCGCCCGATTGGCGGGGAACGAGGGCGTCAAAGGAGGACGAGGATGGAGAAATGATCGAGATGATGGCAGGAGTGAAGACGGAGGTTGGCGGGCGGAGACCAACTAGGCCGCTTTCGGTCTACAGGCATGGCCGACTGCCTGGACCCGGCCCCACCTCCACTGGATGATTATGATGAAGTACTAATATTTAGGGTGGGAATTAATAGGCAAAAATTTCATATAAACATTGTTATCGTTCATTCATTGATTCCTTGGCTCTATTTCTATACATTTTGAGGTGTTTTAGTGTTTTAGTGCGTCTTGTTCCACTCAATACACTCTTCGAAGGTCACGCCGGAGCCACCGAAGATATCCAAGGCACTGCCAATGGTCAAGTCCACCTTGCCATTACTGCTAACGTGGACCTTCTCAAGGTCCTGTAAGCTGCGCGCACCTCCGGCGTATGTGACGGGGATGGTGCACCACTCTGCCAACTTAGATACCAACTCTTCATCGACACCCTGTTGAAGCCCCTCCACATCGGCAGCATGGATCAGAAATTCGGAGCAGTAGGGTTCCAAAAAGGTGATTGATTCTATGCAAGATTAGATATGTGTTGGAACCTTAAGGAAAGGTACGCCACAGTGGCTGATCACCCCATACCTTGATTGATCTCCATCTCCGTGATGGTCTGCCAACGGTCCATAGCCACAAACCAAGTGTTATCCTTTCTGCGGCAGCTCAGATCCAAAACCAGCTTGGACTTGTCACCTCCCAGAGCCGCAAGTACCAGCTCGAGTCGCTCGAGGGAGAATTTGCCAGACGGGAAGAGGAATGAAGTGATGATCACCTATTCTCCCGCATTCCATTAGCGTCATCGTTGAGAATCATGACGAAAGACCAGTAGACAAGGACTTGCATCAAATGAGAGAAGCGCGATAGGCGTTTTCTCCGCCAGTAATGCAAATCAGGAATTCATGAGGGTGCGGGGGTTACTCACCTTCTCAGCGCCCTGGTCAATCCAATACTGTGCATTCTTGTCGGTGATGCCTCCAGCCACTTGCAAGCCATTAGGCCATGTACGCACTGCCTCTTGGGCTGCCTCGTCATTCCCTGGCCCCAGCTTCACCACATGTCCTCCGCGCAAATCGTGCTTCTCGTAGAGGCCCGAGTAGTGGCCCGCGGGGAGCTTAGACACGTAGTTGGTCTTCAGGTCTTCGGCGACATTGCTGAGGGTTCCACCAACAATCTGCTTGACCTGACCGGAGTGCAGGTCAATGCATGGTCTAAATTTGGTCATTCTGCTTGTGTAATCGCAATTGCGACGATTGAATGGCTTCTTCAAAAGTTCCCAAAGGTCAACCGGCCCCTCGAGGGGCTTATCTTTATTATCGCACGTGACCCAGAGCTTGGTCCAGAAAAAAGTTCGCGGACCATCGGCGTATTGACACTCGCCTTCAAGTTGATTAAATTACCCGGATTACTTCAACCATGGTTGTCAAGCGCAAGAGAGACACTTCCGTCGTGTCAAGATCGAAAAAGACCGAGGATCCCAGCCCCCCACCCGCAGACAACGCTCAGGACATCTTCCGCAAATACTTCGAAGCGCAATTCGAACCTATAGAGGCGGCTCCAGCGCAGCCTGCGGAAGAGTCTGAGTCGGAAGATGATGACGAAGAATACGATGAAGAAGAAGATGACGAAGAAATGGGGTCAGAAGATCGTTGGGATGGAGTCTCTGACGACGATGAGAAAGACCACAGAGTTGAGATCGTTGAGCATAAGGACGCCAACGAGAATGAAGATGAGCTGATGCAAAAGCAGCTGCGCAAGGCCTTCTTGGTATGGAAATTCTTTTAGTTCATCCTCGAAGAAGACCAATTGACTCACATCTGCTAGAATGGAACACCCACCTCAGACATCCTCGCAAAGTCGACATCAAAACCGAAGACGAAAGAAGACAAGGAAGATGAAGCCGGGGAGGCCGATAACTTCAAGCACGATCTTGCACTTCAACGACTCCTCAAAGAATCACACCTCCTAGACTCCGCGGATGACCTTGCACCGACAGGCAAGAACCGACTGAAGGCTTTGGACTTGCGCATGCAGGAGCTCGGAGCGAAGTCCTCGCTCTATAAGCAGAAGATGCCCGATGCCCATCGACGAGGCATCAATGCAAAGGCAGCATCAAAGGACGAAAAGCGACGTCGCGAAGCTAAGGAGAACGGTATCATCCTCGAGCGGCCCTCGAAGGTCTCAAAATCCAACAACAATGGACGGAGAGAACGCGGTGTGGGAGGTGCTTCTATTGGAAAATTCTCCGGGGGTACATTGAACCTGAGCAAGCAGGATTTGTTCTCTATGAAGAGCAAACCAAGCCGCTCCTCCAGGGGGGGTAGAGGCGGCCGCGGTGGCCGTGGTCGCGGTGGGGGTCGTGGTGGTAGAGGTGGCAGGGGCGGCCTATGAGGATGATTTGTCGCGCTTATCAGAGCGCATCTCTATTCATCTATGATACAACCTCACTCCATTGAAAGCACCAACGAGTGAAAAATTGACCATCGCGAGTCATAATTAACGAATACATGCTATCCAATACCCAACTCAATTCAATCAACCACATCACGGATCATGAGCCACCACCTCAATTTCAACCCGCATATCATCCTCTCCGAGTCTTGTCACGCCGACGCAGGTCCAAATCGGTTGGTGATTTGGCATCCAGCGCTTGAAGTTGCGAACCATCGCTTCCAAAGCTTCGTCATTGATTGGAACGTGGTACGAGTTGACGCGGAATACCTGCTCCCAGCCCTTCCCGCCCGCGTCTTTCAAGTTCAGGTCAACATTGGCAAAAGCCTGATCGATTTGTTCGTTGATCTCTTTGAAGAACACGCCGGTCTTCGGGTCCCAACCACCTGGATGTGAAGCAATTAGCGAAATGACCCGGACAAGAAGCGGTAAATAGAGTGAATCTACCTTGTCCTGCACATTCAATTCGATCGCCAATGCGGACTGCTTGGCTATATCTGAATTTTTGTTGGTTTCTTTGGCCGACGCCTTCATAGTTGTAGTATTGCAAATGCGACATTTTGGTATCGGATAAGATGAATTATATCCCGATGACCTTAGTAGATTCCTTGGTCCGGTAATCAAACGAATGTTTCTGAATTGCCTAGGTATATTCACAGTGCTATCTACTCAAAATTTTCAAGTTGGGAGAAGGTTTAAATGGCTCCGCGTACAGTTGAGGGGCGATTGGGGTGCCAGTGGAATATATATTCCGCTGGCGGTCAATAACCTTCAAGTTGAACTTCTATGACGAAATCCATCCATCCATCTGGATAACTACCACCGTGATAGTAGAAAGAGATTACTACTAGTAGTCACTAGGAGGTACCGAATGATTGAAAATAGTAATATTGGAATAAATCCTATTTCCCTTCAAATAGGCAAGGAAATTAAAAAATACCACTTGCCCTTTAATAGAGCGGACTCCGGTGTTAGGTACTATTGCGTGGCTGGACGATGCCCAGCCGGAGAAAAGTCGGGCCTGTGATCGCAAAATCGAATTCGCAATTTCGTGGTTCGCTGATCCTATCTACCTCGGGGACTGTACTACTAGGCGTGGCCAGCTCACTCGTAAACTTGGATTGCTATGATTTGTAGGTTTGTAGCCCCGAGTATTGATTCTCCCTGACTAGAATTGATCGAAAATGAGTATGAAATAGTTGCACCACACTCCCGATGAACATTCATTCTCAGACCTTGGAAACTGGTAGTACCCTCAGCCGAAGTCTTACTAGATCGGGAACTTGATAGCCTGCCTACCTACTACTAGTATTACGAGTAAGTAATCTCAGGGCAAAAAACCACCCATCAAATCTTAGACCATTGAAACAAGAGAGCAACATTGTCGTGAACCTCGGAACTGGGGGAAATAGCCATTCAATGCCCAACGACTGCATACTAACTTGCTTGGCTAACGCCAAGTCCCAAATAGGTCGCAATTCTCGTTTGCCCCTCTTTGTTCTCCTCATTCTGGTGTAACTCACTAAAAGTATATTCTCATATGTTTCGGTTGTCCGTTTTCCCGGTCGTCGAATCTTCCGTATCAGATCCACACTATCTCTGCAGAAATCTCTTGGCGGACAGGGAGCCATGTTCTGCAGAGTGTTTAGCTTCATGCAACTCTTGGACTTACTGGATCAAACCCAATCGGCCCTCATGATGTAGTTAGACTGGAAAATACGACCCCAATTGCTGCTTAAGGGACATTTGCATACCTTTCCATCCGCAGTTGCCGCAAGGACTCGGGGAAAGACCTGCAAAGTACTTATGTGGTTTAAACCTCGGGAATTTCTGAATAGAAGTTCCACTCTAGAAATTACAGCTGCAAAATTGTACAGCTGCAGAGTGATGTCGCATGCCGAGACTGGCATTGACCCTGTTTGCCGATAGATGCAAAGGTCCTCGTTAGACTTCGGAAGATATTGTATCGATAACATCCCCAAAAACGTCAAGCCTGGTCAGCCCCCTTGCAGAATTCCAGATCGCTTGGAAGAATCGTGAATTCAAACTTCCACCGGAACATAATTAGCATTTATCACAACTTGGGTTGCACTCGCACTCAAAATCCAGAAGATTGCCAGAACTCAAAAAAGCGGCGCCTGCCAAGCGCTGAAACATCGGGATTCCGCTCGCGCTCCGCTGGCGCAATCTGACTAGATGTGATCGCCATGCTGTAAATCCTGAGTGGATTAGAGCCTGGCTTTCTTGGCCCAGGGCAGATCACCCGTTATCGTGGTGGACTTATCGAAGGCGATCCACTGTGGCAAAGGTCGTTTGCCGACACGCGGTTCCATTAGGAAGAGGCTAGAGCACACTGATTAATCCATAGCATCCACTCAAGCTCCTGGCCCACCCTTGAGCTCTCGTCGAAAATCAGGGATCAGGGGAAGGCGGGGAGAAGGATGGGATCTTCCTCCCGATGGAGCCGTATAGGGCCCTATGTAAATCAAAATCCATCCCCCTGAGATATGTGGAACCCGTCGTGTGAGGCTGTGAGGAGTGCGGGCTTCGTAAGATCTGATCTCCTTATATTGCGTACTCCGTATGAAGTACGGGGGATAACTTCAGCTTCAGCTCAAGTTAGATTTTGCCAAGGCTATTCTCAAATGGTAGACGGTTGCTGGTTTTTGGATCGTGGTCTTGGCAAGGCCAAGCAACTCTGATAGCGGTGCTCTTTCTTAGTTCAATATGTGTATATATTTTATGCATAGTCTAGATTTAGTTCTGCATAAAGGGTACTTGAAGTGGGAACACAAACAAGTACGGAGTACCGTTGGAGATGATCGGAATCGGCGTGATTTTTGAGACACTCATCTCGCCCTCCCTTAATTCCTTCCCTATGGCGGAGAATAGGTATGTACGTACATGAAGTCCCTCGAGCCTTGGTAATTGTTCGAATTTTTAAATAATTCTTCAAGGGGCTAGCGATATTGATGTATCAAGCATTTGAGATAAGGGGGCTGTGTAGTTCCGTCGCAGTATGGTCCATGCGTTTTATTGAAACAAGGCGCGCCGATCGGCCGTGGGGCTTGAATAACCCCCAGGCAGATAGATTTTGGGAATTTTTGGCTCCGGAATGATTCAGGTTTGTTTGAAAATTGAATTTGTGAATTTCTACTGGCTACTGTAAGTAGTAGGCTAGCGGGTTTTACAAGCACCTTGGCTAGTTTGTGTGTATGATTGACTTAACCAAAGACTTAGTTTTAGCTACGTAGAATGGATAGTAGTACATCTATTCCATAAATCTAGGGCTAATCCTATAAACAATTCCAATTGAATGGATAGGATCCTAGAAGCACGGACACGGGGTTCCAAATAGCCCCTTTGAACTACGAATATATGTGGTTTCAGGTTCAAGTTGGGCAGAAATCAAGAAATCCACTGTTTACATTGACAACCCGTCATCGTGATACTCATGCCGGAGAGGATGAGTTTCCAAATTCGGCGAGAGGCAGCAAGCAGGGTAGGTTTAAGCACCTTGTCACGGGGATATCGGTGAATTATCAAGGCAAGATACACGCCACCGACGGCAAGCCACGACGGGAACAGCCTTACGTGCAGCCATACGGAAAAAGTGCCTGGACAGCGTGGGTGGGGACCTGACTCGGGGAGTACGGGTGTGGCCAAATATTTTGACAGCCCAAAGGGCCTTGTATGTATGCCGACTGAAGATGTGGAGACATTTGGAGAAGATGTAGCCGGTCTCATTTCCATTTTTGGGAGAATTTACAAGTTCAGAGTCGTAGAGAAATGAAACCTTTACCCTCCATCACGGAGAGGTCGGGCCTAGAGCTGATGTCTAGTGGAGATAGTGAACCTCGATTCATAAAGTCAAACATGACAGACCAATCTCTGACTGGCACTTCATGCACGAGGAGTACAAAGAGGTTGCAGTCGGCTAGCCGACTCGGGATGACAATCGGCCGGTCGCGACAGCCAAGAAACGGGCATCAGTGGACCCCGAGATGCAAGTCTGCGGTTTCCTCGGGATGTCCTGAAAATGAGAATATCACAAAAGAGCGGAAGCCGAGGGCCAAGAACCGACGATCGAGAACCGAAAGTAAATACTCCGTAATACCAGCCATATTGTAGGGCAGCAGAAAAGGTTTTATCCGAATAGAAAACCTCCGATATCTCGATGGCGACAGCGCATATCATGCACTTGACTGGGAAGACGATCAGTGCAAGATGGTTATCCGTAAGCTGTAACCAGCCCGTAGCAAGAAGTGATCACCCGGGAGCTACCTGTCCGTGCTGGCTGGATAGCTTCGTGCATCGTTCTAGCACGCACGGTGGAGAACAAGACCCTCTCATCCAAATCCCAAAGGACGATGCAGCGGTAGACAGGACCACCCCTGTTCTCGGGGCCAAAGGGGGGCTTGGTGGGTCCACCATCGGCGCTCAAGGATTGGCAGCCTGAATTAGTTGTCAGTAGAGGCCGTTCGGCTGTTGATCATATCCACTTGGCGCGAACCTTGTCCCGGGAGAGGTCGAGTGCGCATTCTTGACCCTTAGAGGTCCACCTATGATGTCGCGGCCTGATGAATTGCAGATGCATTGGTCACATTAGTTTGCGGGTTCACACGCTTATCTGGGCCCTTGCAATGCATCGTCACTGGGCTATGCAATACCCCTAGGTGCGTCCCCTTTATCGGCGGCGGGACCAGCAAGGGCTATCGCTTTTCCCCTATACACCCAAAACGGCCAAAATAGAACATAAAGTAAAATCAATAAATTCCAATTCCTCCTTTTCCAAGCCGTCTACGTAATTTGCTGCCGTGTAAATGGAATTATTACCCCCTGAAACATCCACCAGCTGGTTTCTGGTGAGCTTGGCATTGCTTGACGCCGCCCAAGATCGTCATGGGCTGGAATAAACCCTATGATCGCTTGCCCACCCAATACTTGCTTTATAACCATGTGCAAAATTGTGTGGTCCTCGCCAAGCCTTGGCTTTCTCACGACCACTTGGTCTTCATTATGCTGTGACGCTTCGTATCCTGCAAGTATATCCACATCTGCGGGATATCGGGACCTTCATGGCAGAGGCATCCCGATCCAATTGTACTCCCGACCAAGGAAAATATGAATCAGGACCATTCTCGTGGATCTGACTTACCTTGCTACTTCAATGCAGATCTTTTCATAGTCGATATGTAGGACACGCGTATACTCACACTAGGCTAAATCCCAATCAGGTAATGGCATTTGACTCGGAACTTTGTACGCCAGGGCATGGATAGTTTACCCGGAACCCCTACACAGAGTAGAAAAAAAACGCTGCCTGATGGTGATATCTGTAGTTTCTATTTACATTGAGACAAGTGTGTCGTAAGCCCTCGAGGCTGTGGCATAACTATAAGGTTTGAGTAGCCACTGTAGTTGCCTTATTCCTAGGGATTGGCGTACAACATCTAAAAACAAACCACAAAGCCTAGAATTTCTCTCCGCTGATCACACTCCTCCATCATCGAAGGAGCAGCATCCGTTTTACCGTCTTTGTCCGATCCTTGCCACCTATCAAGTCTACATCTGCCAAGGGGACCACACTCCCCATTCCCTAGGCTGAATCCACAGTGGAGTAAGTAGATGGCCATGACTCCCACATGTAATATGGGAACTGTTAGTAGTTTTGAAGCTAAGTTATCAGGGGCGTTGGGCTGACGTGGAGATACAAAAGCGCCTTACCACGCACGCCATTCTTCGAGAATAGCCAAAACGTTTTTCTTCCGACTTGACAGCTCTAGAGCAGGTGGTTCGAACCATTCTATTACTTGTCTAGATTTATTACATCTTCAAAAGGTTATGTGAGCCTAGACTCTGCTTTTAAGGTTTTAATTACACATACACAATGTCCGGCTTCAAATCTGAAGACTCTCTCAAGGAGCCTACAGTTACCGCCTGGTCGGTCAACTCTAGCCCTAGCCTGTCCCCTACAGACGAAAGGAGACTCCCAACACCATCGTCCGATTCTATCAACCTCGAAGGACAAACAAAAACGCCACCTCCCTACCATGTCTTCCCTCGATCCCGTAAATTGCAGATGGTCTGCATTGTTTCCCTCGCCGCTATATTCTCTCCGCTATCCTCAAACATCTACTTCCCAGCCCTCAGCGAAATTTCCAGAGTAAGTTGATGACATCTCATCATTTTTATCATCACAGTATCTCATAATCTGCTCCATAGGAACTGGACATCTCGATGTCCCTCGCCACCCTCACCGTTACAGTATACATGATCGTTCAAGGTATTGCACCTAGCTTTTGGGGTTCCTTTTCCGACGTCCTTGGCCGACGATCAATCTTCATTGGAACCTTTATTGTTTATATGATTTCCAACATTGCATTGGGTGTGTCAAAAAATTATGCCCAGCTCATGGCGTTTCGGGCAATTCAAGCAGCGGGTAGTGCTGCCACAATTTCTATCGGTATGCTCCCCGCCTCCTTCACATTCCAATGACATTTGCTAATCCTGCTCCCCCACAGGTGCTGGAGTCATCGGTGATATCACCACGTCTGCTGAGCGTGGAAGTCTAATCGGGATCTTCGGTGGAGGTAAGTTGCCATGTGAACACTGTCTACAGTGGAGCTAGACTGACAGAAGTAGTACGCATGCTTGGCCAGGGAGTTGGCCCAGTCTTTGGTGGTCTCTTGTCACAGTACCTAGGATTCAGGTCTATCTTTTGGTTCTTGACTATCCTTTCTGGATTAAGTCTTTTCTCTATTCTATTTTTCCTACCAGAGACTTTGCGAACGGTGGCTGGAAATGGAACCGTCCCGCTGCATGGCATCTACAAGCCTTTTATCTACCACTTCACTGGTCAGAAGGATGCAGACCCGAACTCAGCCCCTTCGGGCGAGAAGAAAAAGGTCACTTTCAAGACTGTCGTCGCTCCTCTTGGATTCCTTGGCGAAAAGGACGTTTTCATCACACTCTTCTTCGGTGCCATTGTATACACCGTCTGGTCAATGGTCACATCCTCAACTTCAGATTTGTTCGAGTCTACTTACGGCCTCAACTCCTTAGAAGTCGGACTCACCTTTCTCGGAAACGGTTTCGGCTGCATTTCAGGATCTTATACCACAGGCTACTTGATGGACTACAATCATAAGCGAACTGAGCGCGAATACTGCATGGAGCACAACCTGCCTCTCGAAACACGCATCACATCCAAGACCCACTCCGACTTCCCCATCGAATACGCTCGCATGCGCAACACTTGGTGGATCACTGCGCTTTTCATTGTTTGTACAGCTGTGTACGGAGTCTCGCTTCGCACCCACCTCGCTGTCCCAATTATCCTCCAATACATCATCGCCTACTGTGCCACCGCTATCTTCACAATCAACAGTGCCCTCGTCATTGACCTCTATCCCGGTGCCAGTGCTAGTGCAACCGCTGTGAACAATTTGATGCGGTGCCTGATCGGCGCTGCCGGTGTTGCCGCTTCTCAGCCTCTCATCGATGCCATCACAGCTCAATTTGCATTCCTGTTGTTGGCAGGTATTACTCTCTGCATGGTTCCGCTTCTTTCTATTGAGATGCGATGGGGCGCTGGATGGCGTCTTGAGCGAACAGAGCGACTTAAGCGAAAGGAACAGGCTGTTTAATAGCCTCAAATCAAAACAGCATGTCTTGAACAAGACCCCCCAAAAAGGAGGCGTATTGTCTCAATTGAGTTCACAGCCTTTCATGACTTAACGACCTGGTGTCTTCAGCGTATTTCCGGATTTTTTGGCCTTTTCGTTCTGCATTATCTGTTCATCCTTTGGCTTCAATTCTTTCACATTATCTTTGCATGTTTATAATTCCTCCATAGACAGTATAGAGCACAGGGCTATGTCCTAAATCATTGTTTGGTTACCCACTGGCTAGCAGCAGCAGTAGTATTGGTAGCAGTAGCAGTATATTGCAGGCTGAGCCTCGATCAAATATGCTGCAGCACACTTTCCTCTGATTGGTGCCTTTCTTGGCTTCCGAGGTAGGATTAGATAGTTGGGTCGAGGTCCAATTTTCCCAGTGTTTTGACTTTTGTTTTCTTCCCGTTGTCGCTGCCTCTGCCTCCTCCACACCATCGCCAGAAAGATACACCGTCTCGCTCGGTTACTATACCTAAGCCGTGGTCATAGCTTGAAGCCTACGGTCCTCGAGTTGCCCAAACTCGCGAGCTAATGCCATGGCCTCCAACACCGAGTCCAGGATCGCGGAAGATGGTGACTACGACCCCGAAGCTCTGATACTACACGAGACTGCCCATGAGGCTACTCAAGAACCCCCCAGGGCGTCGATGGACTGGCATTCTATCCCAGGGATGGTCCTTTTGCAAACAAGTGGGAGCGATTTCGTTAACTATGCGAGAAACGAATGGCCCGACCTAGCACTTCCATGGGACGACGTGAGCAAAGCAATCGACATCTCTTGCCGCGCAACTGAGCTCAGACATGAGTTAAAAACAGCCTACAAGAAATGGTATAACATTCTCGTTGAAGGCTCTCTGGCGAGAAACCAGGTGATGAAAACAAAAGGCGCACTAAGGGAATCTACGGACCAACTTGAGAAATCCATGAAACAACTGAGGGAGAATATTCCAAATGCTCACATAGAACATCCGCTGACACAATTGGTTCGAGACGAGCTTGATGCAGTCCGATCCATGTCGAATCGTACCCTCGCTTCAAACGACCCTTTACCATACGCTCCTTCATGTCCCGCGAACAGGCGACCCAGTCGAACCTACACAGGCATGGATGACCCCATCATCCTTGCCGACCTTGCAATAATCGACCATCACATTGGGCTTGGCCTCCCGCCCGAATCTGCAGACATGGCTCTTGGTCGCCTGAAGGCAAAAGGGGGTGACATACTCTACGACGCATTGCGCCGAAATGTGAACCTTGGTATCATAACCGTCGCAGCCTCCGATGCGTTTCCTGAAACAGACAAAGATGCGAGCATGCTGGTGGCACTTCGCCATTTGGTTAACTTGGAGTTCAAGCATTACACTGAAGTCGATGCGACGCTTTCTCGGCTTGTCCGGAGATTCGGCGGTGGAAAGGATACGGACTAGGAGTCCATACTGATGCGTGTCCAGGGTATCCTGCAAATGGTGCTGAGCGGCTCAGAAAAGACAGCCAGCTCAGCAGTGAGCAACAAAAAACGTCCTGGAAGCCCGCTAAAAGGAGACCGTCCACAAAAGGTTGCGAGAAACACCGAAGAAGTATCAGATACGATCCCGCCTGACCCACCACAAGAGCAGACTGCCGTGAACGATAGAAAGCGTCCTGGAAGCCCGCTAGAAGGAGCTAAACACCGAAGGACTCGAAGAAAATCACAAGGAACATCGAATACAACTCCAGCCAGCCCACCACAGGAGCACAAGGACCCATACATTGCTTCGGATCTCGCAGTCATCTTTCATAATGATCTTCTCGGTTTGCCGCCCACTGCCCCGGAGCTAACCACGATGCGTCTCAGAAAGCGACTCGGCGCGAAAAGCACCACGATGCTACTGAGTCTTGTGAAACAAAAGAAAGTACAATGTCTTCCCGGTCATTTCGTACGAAACGAGTATGCCATGGAATCCATCACGGAGGTGATGAAGTCGTCCGACGGGGCTGAAACTTTCCGCCTGGGCCTCGAGCTCATGTATGGAATCTTTGACGAAACAGACACTTGGCTTGACATCATGTACCAAATCCGGGAACTCGCATCAAGTAATGACGCTGGATATCAAGCTGCAACCTAGCCAGTGGGATCCGACCTCTCATGCATGTCCTGGCTTCCATGTTTCTATGTCTGATTTCGTATCCAGCGTTCGCCTGTATCTAGCAGGACTTTTTGTGTGTCGATTGGCGTCAATAACTGTCATGCCAGTACATGGGGCTGATTTTACTCGCAAAAGCAAAGATCATCGGCAGTAACGTACGTGATAAAATATCGAAATGTCAATCAAATCTCCTCTCTATTCTCTCTTGCTTCAGCCTGGTCGATATACGTTTCACAGGGTTCCACTGTTCCAGTACAGGCGTTTCACTCCGACCACGGCGAAGGTCAGGAAATTGCCTCCCCTTATCTTGCTCCATAGTCCCGCTTGAAGAGCTCTCGAGTCGTTTGCCTGGGATACTAGTAGAAGCTGGGAACGGATCTGGGATGTTGAGAAGAGATACTACTAGTATCATTGTTCAAGTAGTTCAAGTTTGTTTTGGTTGACTGGCCAGGTGACTGACTTACTGGTCCCGCAAAGGAAGCGACGAACCACGAACCGTCAGTGTATACGGCAGGAACTCACCGGGAAGGCAGGAAGGTACGACTCAGCTTTAGAGATCAATCAGTACTGGTACTGGTATTGGCACCGGTGTTGGTATTGGCATTGGTGTTGGTATTGATATTGATATTAAAGTAGTTGGTGACAGGAGAAGCCCCAGAGCAATATCTAGCACCAAATGCTACTAACACTAGTACCAAAGGACAAATGGGCAAGGCCACAAAGCATTGAGCCCCCGCCGCAGTAGTACTAGTTGTAAGCCCTGCTTTGCTTTTCAATCAGGCACAGACTAGACCCTCAGGCTGTCCAGGTGATTTAACCGGTGCAGAGTAAGTCCCCACTATTTCGGACATTTCTACTCCGGTCGGCTCGGGGCCCCGGATATGTTTCCAGAACATCAATCGACTCGGAGCTGACCTTGCATACACTGGCAGTAGTACCAGTACTAGTAGTTCTCAATAGTACGAGCAGTGGCACGTCAATTGTTAAGTTGAGAGCTGCAGTCCAATTGGCATAACATATACCCACTGGCAGGTAATAAATAGAGTATTCTCGGGCTTGCGGTAGTATTGCTATATGGTCTAATGGTGGTCCAGTATAAACAACCTGAGGATAAGCGGATAATTAGAACGGTCTATTTTTGTCAGCAGATTCAATTCACAACGGCTAATGCGCGCAAGCTAATAAGCAGTGCTACCAGTACTGCTAGTACTACTCTAGGTACCCTGTGACCCGGAGTCAGCTGCGATAGGAGACACCGGACACCCAGTAAGGAAACCAGCGCCTATTCTGCTTCTCTGGACTAGGGTCGGCAATTGAAATATACCTAATAGGTAGTACTAGAGGTACTAGTAATAGACAATTAAACATTAACCTGCAAATCCAATTCGAAAACAAACCCTGTCCCGTACCCGACAGACCACCAGGGTAGACCAGGCCCGAATGCGGCAATGATGATGATGCTTGCCCCACGGCCCCTCCACCGGACCCCAACACGCCGGACTTGACGCCATTCTTTTTCTGCTTCCCTTTCCTTTCTTCCTGTCGTCAAGTTCTCTTCATCTTCATTCCTCCATCTTGTTCTCCGTGATACCCCTCTGTCATCCTCTGTAAGCTCTATCCCCTCCAGTCAACGTCTCTCTCCCTCCCCGCTGCATCTTCCCTCTTCTTCCGGTGCCCCGCAGCAAAGCTAACTTTCTACGCTTACAGCTTTGTCGACTTTCGTCATGCCTGGATTCTCGCAGGCTACTGAGCTCAGCTCCTGGAAGGCTCTCCAGGAGCACCACACCACCCTGGGCCGTAACATCGTGCTCAAGGAGTACTTCGAGAAGGACCCCCAGCGCTTCCAGAAGTTTAGCCGCACCTTCAACAACACCGTGGATAACTCGGACATCCTCTTCGACTTCTCCAAGAACTTCCTCACCGAGGAGACCCTAGGTCTTCTCGTGAAGCTGGCCAAGGAGGCCGGTGTTGAGGAGCTGCGTGATTCCATGTTCCGTGGTGACCACATCAACTTCACCGAGGATCGCGCGGTCTACCACGCTGCTCTGCGCAACACCTCCAATGAGCCCATGGAGGTTGACGGCAAGAGCGTCGTCGAGGATGTCAATGCTGTTCTCGACCACATGAAGGAGTTCTCCGAGCAGGTGCGCAGTGGTGAGTGGAAGGGTTACTCTGGCAAGAAGATCGATACCATCATCAACATTGGTATCGGTGGCTCAGATCTGTAGGTTTTCCCCTTTTTATGTGATAAAAAGTATAGTGTTTTTTTTTTGAAATGCACCGTGGCTAACAATGTTGTTAAACAGCGGCCCTGTCATGGTCACCGAGGCCCTGAAGCCCTACGGCCAGCCCGGCATGAAGCTTCACTTCGTGTCCAACATTGATGGTACCCACATCGCCGAGGCGATCAAGGACTCTAACCCCGAGACCACCCTCTTCCTTATCGCCTCCAAGACCTTCACCACCGCCGAGACCACCACCAACGCCAACACCGCGAAGCAATGGTTCCTGGAGACCGCCAAGGACGAGGCGCACATCGCAAAGCACTTCGTTGCTCTGTCCACTAACGAGGCCGAGGTCACCAAGTTCGGCATTGACGCCAAGAACATGTTCGGCTTCGAGTCATGGGTTGGCGGCCGTTACTCCGTCTGGAGCGCCATTGGTCTGTCCGTGGCTCTGTATATTGGCTTCGACAACTTCCACCAGTTCCTGGCTGGCGCCCACGCCATGGACAAGCACTTCCGCGAGACTCCCCTGGAGCAGAACATTCCCGCCATCGGTGGTCTGCTGAGCGTCTGGTACAGCGACTTCTTCGGTGCTCAGACTCACCTGGTTGCTCCCTTCGACCAATACCTGCACCGCTTCCCCGCCTACCTGCAGCAGCTGTCCATGGAGAGCAACGGTAAGGCCATCACTCGCTCCGGCGAGTACGTGAAGTACACAACCGGGCCCATCCTGTTCGGTGAGCCGGCCACCAACGCCCAGCACAGCTTCTTCCAGCTGCTGCACCAGGGTACCAAGCTCATCCCTGCCGATTTCATCATGGCCGCCGAGTCGCACAACCCCGTCGAGGGCGGCAAGCACCAGCGCATGTTGGCTTCCAACTTCCTCGCCCAATCCGAGGCTCTGATGGTTGGCAAGACCCCCGAGGAGGTCAAGGCTGAGGGTGCCCCCGCCGACCTTGTCTCTCACAAGACTTTCCTGGGCAACCGTCCCACCACCTCCATTCTGGCTCAGAAGATCACCCCCTCCACCCTGGGTGCTCTGATCACCTACTACGAGCACGTTACCTTCACCGAGGGAGCTATTTGGAACATCAACTCCTTCGACCAGTGGGGTGTCGAGCTGGGCAAGGTCCTGGCTAAGAAGATCCAGAAGGAGCTGGAGACTGACGGTGAGGGCGGCGGTCACGATGCCTCTACCAGCGGTCTGCTGCTTGCATTCAAGGCGAAGGCCAACTTGGCGTAGATTTCCTTTTTCCCGGTCGATCCGATCATCCAGGACGATGGGGCTTTGACGAGCAACGAATGATAATTGTTATAGGTTCATGCCTAGTATGAGTATGTGAAAAATAAATTGAATCAGTTTCTTAACCATGTGTTTCGTGTTTCTATCCGAGTAATTCATTCATAATTCTCGATATCAAGTAGCTACTACTAGGATAAAATCCGGGGTTGAATGGTGAACTCCCATGGTTCACATGGCCTACCATGGTTGGTTGGCTGAGGGGACCTCGGTGGAGGCCAAATGCCAACTAGACTAATCTGCGGCCAGAAAAACAGACTCCGTGTCTCCTCCGCGCCACGTTCTACACTCCTGAGAACAAACCAACCTGGAAGACCGGGGAGGCTGGAACACATCATGAAAGTCATGCCTTCCACACCTCGAGTCTCTAGTGCCGTCGCACTGCTCTCCATCGCTGGTGCGCTGTTACCCTCCAGCGCGGCAGCGGGGGACAGCCGTGGCGACGGCGGATACTCACACGGCCAGGAAATCCCCATATCCTGCCTGAATCGAACACTGTGAGTTTGAACCATGAATCATAAACAATCCAATCTGTCCACCTTCCAAGGGAAACGATTGCTAACCATTGAATGCGCTTCTAGGGACGGAGAACATGTATGCGCCGTAGCCCTCCTGAAGCTCTAGAGGCCAATCTACCCCCAATATCAACAAAACAAGCAATTGACAACCACAACAGATCGAAGACAGTCTGGGTAAACTCCAATACGTACCCTTCGTAACATGCAATGAGACATCCCGCCCTCTCTCAATCCACTACGGCGTCCCAGAAACAATCACCTGCACCGTCCCCGCCCTCTCAGACACACTATACCACCTATTGGAATTCTACGTGCACTCCGACGTGCCCATGACCTGTCGCGTACCAACCGCACCCCTAACACAATCAAGCGCCTTCTCCAAGGACTCCGACTCCTCTGACCCCGAGACCAACGAAGTCGAATCGAACTCCCTTTCCGCACTAAACGACAACGGCCCACCCTTCACACCCATAACAATCGCTCTACAAGGCACACTGCAAAAAAGCCACCTCCACATCTGGACAGACATGAACATGCTAATGCACAACATGGCCTCGGACCCAGCAGCCCAAGACGATACCTCGAACGCCCAAACCCGTCAACCCGGGTACACAGTCGCCGGCACCGCATACTCAACCCCCGAATTCGAAGCAGCGTTAGCAAAGATCCAGCTAGATGAGGACGATAAGGCTGTTGCGCTGGCGCAAGCCGCGCGCGAACCTTGGACACCAGGGCACGGGACGAAGGTTGTTCGCGGTGAGCCGTTGACGTTTTCGTTCCATGTTGCGTGGGTTGAGGGTGGTGCGGGGATTGGATGGCCTGATCGGCCAGAGGAGTATTCGTTCCTGGGTCCTGGGGGTAGGATTGTTGTTGAGGGTGGAGGCGGGTCTGGGTTCTTTGCCAGTGTGTTTTTCTTCCTTATGGCTGCTTCAGTTGGGGCTTTGGGGGCGCTTTATTGGGAGAGGAATCGGGGTGGATTGAGGGGGAGGTCGGCTTGGAAGGGGGATGGGATTTTGGGCGCTCGTCCTTCTAGTAGTAGGAGTAGGTCTGGTGTGACTTTTGGTAATGGGGGACGGATTAATGGGTATGGTGGGTATACTGCTTCTGCTGGGAATGGGAATGGTGGTGCTGCTGGTGGTGGGTATGGAGGCTTCCCTGGTGGGAAGAAGGATTGAGGGAGTGCAGTGGGTGATTTGTACTATATTCATGATTATACATAAATTGTACTGTATCTTCTTCATGGCCTTGAGCACATACACGGGCGTTTGATGTTATAGAAGTTCAAGTCAAGATTCAATGCATTCCATATCTATCTGATGTAGATGATCCACGGCAAGCTGGGGTAGAAGAAGAAAAAGGAACTTTGCAAATAGTTATACATGTATCAATCAACAAGGTCCACCTATCATAGATAGTAGACATCTCACACGGAATGGGATATCGACCCCGATTCCCATCATCCAGTACAAATCTCAGTATATACAGCGTCCCAAGAGGAAACCCATCTCACCAACCCTGCGTCTGCATCCGCTGGATCTTCTTAACAGTCTCCTGGAACGAGAACTTGAAAAGTTTCTTCCACCGCATCCGCTTCTGCTCCTTCCGCACCGCACCCTTACGCTTATGGAAGCGCTGCTCAAACGATTGCGCCTTGATCTTGTTGGTAGAACAGGTGATTTGCAAATTGCGAATCGCAGCAGCGAGGTCGACGCCGCGCTCGGGCTCGACGTGAATTTGTCGGCCTAGGGTTGGTCCTAGCTTCAATTCCATTTTGCGTGAGGCGAGTTGCTGCGCCATGCGTTCCTGGTTGTGTTTGCCCGCGCTGGCGCTGAGGGAGGCGACGTTCTCGGAAACGGAGTCGTTGAGGCCACGACGGCCGCGGCGGTTGGCAGCATCTGTGGGTGTGCCGCGGTTGCCTAGGTCGAGTTTGTTGAGGATTTCGTCGAAGTCTGAGGCAGAGTTGGCGTTTTCTTGGGGCTTGGGAGCGGCTGCAGGGGTGGTGGGTTCTGAGGATTGTTGTGTGGATTGTTCGGATGGGTTTGAGGGCGTTTGCTTAGGCGGTTGGGAGGGGGTACTTGAGGAGGAGTTGTATCGGAGAGTGCTGGTAAGGAAGGATTGCTGGAATCGAGGTTGTTGGTTCAGCAACCATGGAGTTGGCCGGGCACGGAGCCCACGGGCCAAAAGTCGAATGTCCATTGTTGTAGAGAGCACTTGTGTCTTTTTGCACAAGGGCAATTGGGTGAATTGAGCTGTTCCTTTCCTTCAAGAGGTGGATGTGATGGGGTGAATTTGGAGTTGGTCGCGAGAAGCGGAGCGGATCGATTGAAATTGTAGATCACGTGCACCTCCGCAGCTTTGAACGCCGTGGAGCATTCACGCTTTGGCTACACTGCAACTACACTACACTTTTTTTTGTTTACATGAAATTCCGAATTGCAAGATCTTGCCGAAATAATCTTCCATTCATGTCTTCCATTTCGATCGCAAATCTCCCGCGCATGAGCCGTGAGGCTCTGAGCGCCCTTCTCACATCTACCACCGCATCCGATAAGCTTGCAATCATCGATGTTCGAGACTCTGGTATGACTGATGCTTACGCCTCCTATGATCAAATTTGACCTGTTTCGCTGACTTCAATAGACCATATTGGTGGCCACATCAAGTCCTCGATTTGGGTCCCAACCTCCTCTCTCGATGTTCGTCTGCCAGAGCTACTTCGCACTCTCAAAGACAAGGAGAAGGTGGTTTTCCACTGCGCTCTTAGCCAGCAGCGCGGCCCCTCTTCTGCGCTCCGCTATGCTCGTGAGCGGGAGCGTACTATGGGCCCTGAGGAGTACCAGAAGCAAGAAGTCTATGTGCTCGAGGGCGGATTTGTTCAGTGGCAGGAGAAGTATGGCAAGGACGAGAAACTGACAGAGGCATATGTCGAAGATATCTGGCAGGAGTATTAAGAAACTACTGGGTGCTGCTCCTGAGCTTGCCGTTCCGTCTTGGTCGGTACAATTATTTTTGTCATTATTCCCTTTTTCTGCTGTTATTGTAACAGTCAAGACGGAACGGAGATATCACTCTATGCTTTATGAGAAATGAACACTGTGACAGATTAGAAGATACGACATAGATCACTTGCAATGAAGACATGACAGATGCGTTTTGTTCTGGATTATACCAAGGACAAGGAAAAATCCAAAATTTGCGACGAATACTAGTAGTACTAGTAGTTCATTAAATGTAATAACTTGAGTTATCCAATATATTATAATACATTTCTATGTTCTCTCCATCTTCATTATTGTACAAAGTCGGTACTAATAGATGACTTGAACTATATTCAGGGCATTCCAATACCTCCTCCAAATCCAACAGGACGCCTCTGGCCTTCATTCTCCGGAACAATGGTCATAACCTTATAGATCTGACCCATAGAGCCGCCACCCTTCTCAATCAATCTCTTCCAGCCGGTTTCCAGAGTCTTTCTGTGCTCCTCATCCTTGACCTTCCGAAGAAGCTGCTGCATACGCTCTTCAATTCCCAATGCTGAAAGGAAGTCGCCCTGATCCACAGGTCCGTGAACCTCAACGCCTTCGCTCCCCTCTAGAGCAGCTTCGGCAAGAGCAGTAAAGTCAACGTCAGCACTGACGTCAACCTGGCCAGGCGATGACAGGAATGGCACAATCTCATGGTTCTGAATACCACGTAGAGAATTGATTGGAATAGTGGAGGCAGTGCCGTAGTCCATGATCAAAGCTGCTCCTGAAGGTGTCTTCTTAACCGGTTCTTGGGCATCAGTCTTCGCGGACCGGGTAGGTGCACCGTCGCCACCGATACGACGGGCGAAGTCTGCGGCATAGATGCGGCTCTCTGGGCTGACTTCAATCGTTGAGCCAGGTTGTGATTTGAGCGCGCGGTAGCGCTCGGAGGCCTCGGGGATCACGAGAGAGTTGGGGGTCGAGGCCGTCGCCTTGGTCAATTTGAATTCGGGTTCGCCCTCAATGTTTTCTTCAACAGCCTTGGGGTTCAAGGTGACAAGTAGCTCTCGCCACTGAGGGGTGTTAGCAACCTTCAATGGCTCATGTAACTTCTGCGGTCCGGTCGGAGTCATGATTTCCTTGGGTTGCGGTTCGTTCTCGGGAGATGGGGGGACAGATTCAAAGGCATGGACGGGAAGTGCGTCGAAAAATTCATGTGCAAAGATGAAGGGGGTCTTTCCTTCCTCTGATAGGTAAAATATTAGCCAATTACTTTCTCCATAGATACTGCTCTGCCTTTTTGACTTACCGTGTGGCAACAAGCGAATATCCTCTACCCAGATAATCGGCACATCAAAGTATTTGCACATACTCCGGTGACCGATATCCGTCTCCTCCATCGCCACCTCTTCGCCACAAAGGGTAGACTTTTGGAGCTGTCGCAAAGTCGGACTAGCCTCAACGAGATATATGGCTTCAACGCTCGAAGAGAAGCTCTTGAAATTCCGGAATGTCTGTCATATCACCGGTTAATCTCACGCTCTTCGATTAAATAGAACCGAATGCAAAACCTGGTGCTTGACAACTTACCCGCAGCATATCATCCATGAGGGTCCCCTTGCCCGGACCAACCTCCATAAGTTGAACACCACTTCTCGTCCGGCCTTGAGCCATCCATTCCGCAATTGTCCAGATACCGATCAACTCGCCGAACACTTGAGAAATTTCCGGTGACGTGACGAAGTCACCGTGTTTACCAAAGACAGCTCCACCTTCCTGAGTGGTGTAATATCCTCCTTCCGGTGATGTCAAAACTTGGCGCATAAAGGCTGAGATGGGGATAGGACCTGTGACCTAGATGCGGGTTGTCAGTATACGTGCCAAGGTATTTCCGATTACCAAGCAAGACTTACCTTCATAGCACTAGCCAGGATACGTGCTAATGGCGTCGACCATTGTCTTTGTTCGAATGTTGAGTTGTATCGACGTGGATACGTCGATAGTACCGAATTGCGAGACCTCCGCAAGGCATGCGACGCGATGCGCCTGGCGGCGGGATTCATGCTTAATCAGAGCTGGTGAGCCCTCGCTGAGTTTTCTGGAGCAGGAGACAACCAGAGAGCGAAATTCCAGCGCTTGGATTTGACAATTGCGGTCGAGCTAAAGGCACAGGTCTAGAGTTCATTCGTTCTGCTGTTTCTGCTCCGCAAAAGCTCCGCTGCACGTGATCTTATCTTTATCGGCATTGGATTTCTTTACATCCTACCTTCATGATGGGAAGGGTTCCTATGGCATCAATTCCAAAATAATCATACAATTCGTGATATAGATAGACTAAGGATTTAGGACAAATAGTACATTGAGTCTGAAGGCCGATAGTTCGTTTTGGAGGTATTACTTCAAGCTCGAACAGCCCTCAATGGCGCCTCCGACCTTGGTTGTTTTGCTGTGTATCCACCATCATCTGATCGCTGTAAAGATTTGACTGCGGCAGGTTATAACGAAGAGCTTCACCTTCTTCGCCGAAGCCGAAAGTTCCGTCTTGCACCTGCGGTTCTGCGCGGCGATTACGGCGATTGCGGTCGGCCTGTTCCCGAAGGTTGTTAAACGAGTTTTGCGTGTTGACATGCGTAGTGTCGCCGCCAACGTTCAGCCTGAAAGTTAGTTTCCGCCCGTCCGCCTATGGTACAAATGTTAGCCTGAAATTATAAGTTGTTCGAGAACTGCTTTGGGATCTTACCCATTGGTTGTCAAAGTTTGCGACTGTGTTCTCCGCAATTTCCTTCTCAGCATAGGCGATCTCTGCCGTGACAGCTGGCGAGTGACTGATGACACGGCAGCTAAGCATCGGTCCAGTCCTGGCCTCCAAAGCAGATTGGATATCTGCGGCAGATGTCCCTGGGGAGAAGTTGCTCCCCACCACAATGAATGGACCCGAGGCGCCCTTAATCGACAGGCCACTCTTTGCAGCTTTGGTTTTGGGATGAGGATGAGGATTGGCATCCCGTGCATTCTGGACAAGAGAAAGCAGGTGCTTAGAGTGCGGGTGTTCCTTCTGAGTCTTCTTTCGCGCGGGCTTCTCGCGTGATCGTGCGGCTCCGACAGTCGCAGGGGTCGGGTTGGTCTTAGCTTTGGTCTTGTGTTGAGGCTGGGATTGTGGCTGGCTCGTCCGGAATGAGGCCGATGCGGATCGCTGAGAGTTGCGG